TGAAGCGTCGTAATTACACAACTGAGTCTAACATCTAGCTCTTAAACAGGTCGAAAGGACACAATGTCATTAGCTATTTGACATTCGAATTATCTGTAATTTGTTCCTAACAATTGTAACCTTTCTTGACTTCAATGATGCATGATTAGGCTACAGTATAAATTAAAATTAGCATAGCAGTCAGATGTTTTTTTCTCCGAAACTGAAGGGATGCAGAAAGTAAAACAAATAAATGTATTTTCTTTCTTTCTTCTAAAATATTAATTTCTTCTTAAAGTTAATTTCTGTACTGTCTGATAATAAATATAAAATGTTATACGGAATCGATTATTATCCCGCCAATCCAGGGACAAACAAAAGTCCAGTACTGTCCAGTCCTCCCCGTGGCAATTTTTGATTCGGTTGATAAATCTAAGTTTGCTTATTTGGCAATGAATTTGTTAAACTATTGTTATACATTTTGAAGAACAAGGACAACGATATGAAATTGCGTATAAAGTTATCTTTGTCGTTTAATCATCGCCGCGAAAACCATGAAACAAAAAATGTCTTTTCATCTCGTTTGTCGCGCTCAATTTTTACGTTGACAAAATTACTGTGCAAATGTTTTAAAATCAGCTGTGACCTTGCAGCCATGTTTGGCACTGTGTTAATCTTTTGTAGTCTTTCGTCGCCGGCACTCGAGATGACATAAAAATGTGAAGTCACGGTGCTCGCTATGTTCGATATTGTGATAAAATTTTCAAATTTCGGTTTATTATTTGAATTTGACAGCTAAATGTGGATATAATAGCTGTATCGAGGCGGCATACTACGGGGGCTGGTCTTTTGTTTGTCTCCATCATAACTAACGTAATCGACATTTTTAGCGAAATTGAGTAATCAACTTATTTGGGATCAGTTAAACGAGTTGTACAATCTCTATGAGCAGTTTTTTTAATTTCTTATTTACTTGGTGTAACGGGCTGGTATTCGCATCTCGACGTCAAGGCGCCTATTTCTTATTTAATTCCAGTTTGTGTTAAGCAAAATCAACGTAATGGATATTTTTTTAGGTGACAATAAAACTGTAGATGCCAAAGTTACCGAAACACATATTGGACAAAATTGTGATAATATTTAAGATTAGCGTTTCAAGTAAGAAAAGAACAGTCTGAAAGTGTCACTATGACTAAATCTGGTTTTAACTTTAGTGCTTGTCGTACGGTGAACGGATACAAAGAACTATTATCGTGTCAGTTGTACTTTTTATTTAAACGGATACTAGGGACTTTTTAATTCAGAGTAAAAGAATAATCTCATCACCCCTTTTAAAGAGTGTAAACCAGGTCAAGAACCTTTAATTATATTTTATTCTAAGCACCAATGAAGTGGTTTTTTTAATTTTCTTTTAAAAGGTTTTCCACCTCTGTCCGGAGCACAGTATGACCTCATAACTTTTTTTTATCATAAATGGTTACAAACAACCTATGTAAGTAATATAGGTGACAAATGATTGCATGTTGTACCTAGGTAACATAATCTTTGCATTTTACAATAAAAAATAGTTATCGTGCTTTAGCGGTGTAGTCACACTTGCCTCTGGTCCAGAACAACTATACACCAAGGTACAAAATCTTCACATAATAATACATGGACCACCCTTACGGTTTGTAGACAGGCGAGGGAAGCACTCCCTACGCTCAATGCCAGTCTATCTCGAATACTAATTAAACGTAAAAGGCAAGAGCTTCGCACTCTAACTGCCGCCCTAACGGGTCATGGTCCATACAATAAACACCTTTTCAATTTAGGTATAACAGACAGCCCTATATGCAGAGCGTGCATGGTGGGGGAGGAAGCGGCTGCGCACATCCTACTTCAGTGCTCCGGCGTGGCCAACTACAGGGCACAGTACCTTGGAGTGCCAAGATCGCTCCCCGAAGTCTTCAGCAAACTAAGGAGGCTGCTGAGATTCCTGGAGGAGCTTGGGTGGCACGTGTAGGACCCTGCACCCACCACACGCAAAATAGGCGCTTTGTCGTCGAGTTGCGGATACCAGCCCGTTGCACCAAGTACCAAGTACCACACTTGCCTCGGTTCGTCGGGAAAGTGTGTTTAGAGTAGTGCTTTCAGTTTTAGACCTCAAGTCAAATTCAAAGTCAAAGATTAATGCTTTTATTAATCCTTAAACCTTATAAAACACTTTAATTTTTTATTGAATTGATATTCAATTATTTTTTGTGAAATTATTCCACTAGTTTGTTATAATTATTAATACAAAGATCTTCTGGCTAGAGACGTCGGTTCGAATCCGGCCGGATCGAAGGAATTTTTTCTGAGTGTTCGATCTTTGTATTAATAATTATAACAAATTTTTAAAACATATTATTTTCAGCCAATTATGAGCGTCATTAAATATTCCCCTAAGAAAAAGTTCAAAGCGTGATTTTAATGTTCAAAATAAACTTCGTAAAGAGTATGTCACACTTACCCATACTGACCTAATTTTATTCTTACACGAAAGATAAAGCATTTTTATTACATTAATGATTCTAAAATATCGTACACCAGCTTCAACAGTGTCACAAAAAACATCACAATTTTTGGGTTCCGTAATAGGTTCATACTTCTTCGCTTAAAAAAACAGCATCTATTACAGGGCTGGTAAATAAAATAAACATCGTAACAGCATATACACATTTTTAAATTAGCTAACTTATTTAAAAACATAAACATCACTTACTTGCCGCGTTTTCTATTTTTAAATGCGAAATGATGGCATTACATAGGATTATTTGTAGCAAACCTACGATTCGCCGCGATGCCGATGAATAAAATATATATAGAATCTTATTGATTTGTCATCAATTGTCGTGTAATTGGAGAAGACCATGCGCGATATGGAGCAAAAAATAAAACACTTATGTTAAAAGCATTATAGAGGTTTGTTTAAGAATCTAAGCGTTTTTACTACTGCGAAGTGTCCCGTATCATTGGTATATTTACAGTTGTGTAGCTGCCAGCTATGTAAATACTAAGATCGCAAAAATATAAATAATTTATCTTATTTGCATTTGTTTTGAACCATTGAAGTACACCTCTCTGGTAAATTTGAAATTCTGTATACAGAAGTACTACTTAAATTATTTGATGTTGTGACATTCATAACAAGCCGTGGTAGTCTAATGTTTTGGCCTACCGCCTCTCAAGCAAAGGTCGCACCTCTGAGTTTTTCGGATTTTATGTGCGAAATTCAATTTGTTTACCATTTCTGTTACTATTGAGCTTTTCGGTGAAGGAAAACATAGGGATGAAACCTGCACGTCGAAGAAGATTCACAACCCTTGGATAACGTGTGATGTCCCTTACCCGCATTAAAACTAGTGTGGCGGACAATGGCCAATACCCTCACCTGGTATAAGATCCGTGCCCAGCAATGGGATGTTAAAAAGGTCAAGATATATAATATAATACTAGTTCAATTGTACAATCTCTTGATTGCTCATCAAGCTTAGCACAGACTTTGGACCGATTTTGTAAGCGGCATAAAGTGGAATATAAATCTTAAAAATAAATAATTATAATATTTTCTTACGATATCAAACGATGGGACGAACAAATCGTGCTCCTGGTGGTAAGCGACACACTATACCCATGACAGTTGCAGTGCCACTCAGTCGTTATTTAGATTGGCGGCAGGCGCAAATGCGGATGCGGGTGCGGGTGCGTCTAAATCAAATGTATGTAGACGCTCGTTGCGTTCACAGCGGAGGCGCGCACCGGCGCCTGTCACGAGGCGGGTGTGGGTGCGCGCGCGCCGCGTGATTTGATGGTGGCTCGGTCTGCCCATGGTCCGCCCGTACCTTTCACAGTGCTTAGGTCTAGCGTCTGTTTGTGATTTTGACGTGTGAATCTACCCGCACTTAGCCGCTTCGGCAATGTGAAAGGGAAGACGCCAAGACACTCGCTGCCGCCTGCCGCGCCCGCGCCTGCACTCGGAATGAACCCCCAAACTCAGAGCTTAAAATTGCAAAGATCTGTGGGGCCCTGTCACAGCGCCCGTTACCCTGACTTAAAGTTGACTGGTCCCATGTGCATGTAGTTTCACCAGCACCCTAAAGGCCTGTTCAGATATACGCGTTATTCGCTGCTACTGTGCGTAGCGAAATCCATTATTCATTATCATTTATTATCATTATTATTATGTCAATTTATACTGCTTCCGTGGCCTTGCGGTTACCATGCCGGACTGCCACGCAGAGGTCCCAGGTTCGATTCCCGGGCCGGGAGAAATATTTGTATGGCCTACATTTATTTCTCTCGTGACTTTGGGTGTAATTTGTGGTTGTCTATGTGTGTCCATGGCACCCGCGACACAGGGTTTCCCTAGTGCGGGGCTATGTTGAGTGTGTGCGTTACTATTATTATTATTAATTTGTCGTCAATAACTGACTTGCGGGGTGTGCGGAGGGGATGAATTTGCTACTGCTCCCGCGTCGTGCGGCGAAACCTGGGGGTTTACTCTCGATCTCCGTCCACCATCCGTCCGAAACAATTATTGCCAAATGAACAATACTTGACCAAATGAAAAGACGCGTGATGCGAATGAAGCTTCATTCTTGATACTTGTCTTTTAATTTTGTCAAATATTACTTGTTTGACAGTAATTGTTTCGGACGGAGATCGAGAGTAGACCCCCTGTTTCGCAAACCAAACGAAATGTTGCGGTATTCTGGTTTCGCTCTTGTCGCGAAACTTCATACACATACCCGTGGGATGCCGCGTGGTATTTGTCGCTACCCGCAGCGGTAGCGAATATCGCTTAATATCTGAACTGGCCTTTACCCGTCACAAACAGATATGGTGGTAGTACTTCTGGACGAACACTTTCACAAGGAGTTTTATTGCCGCTTAGTTTAATCTAAAGCTGACAAGACATATTAGAACCTTGAAATCCATGAAATCCATCCAAATGGGAAAACTAATTTGCCTGTTTTTATTCATATACAAAAATTCACCTTTAAGCAATCTTCTCAGCTCTTCAACAGCTGGCTTGACAACATCTGGAGTCTCTCGAAGCTCACGACGCGCGATTTCCTTTATCTTCTCATCGGGTTCGTCGAGTTCAAATTGTAACAGGAAGTCCCCTAACTGCACCGCCGGCAACTTTTCTATATTTGACAGCATGTGCTGCGATACTGCAACAAAAAATTCAATACGTTGATGAATATGCCACAAAATCTTACTAAGTACCCCATATCGAACAAAGGAGTTCTCTGTAGGTGATATGAAGTCCATACTAATGATAATTTCGACCCACTACTCGGAACACTCAGAACCAAGAAAAAGATATTTTTCCAAATGGGTTTGGACGGAAATGGAACCCGGAATCTCCATATCGCACTGCTATTATAAACAGTGTTGCAATTCAAAATGTGCGAAATTTAAGATTGTCTAATATTGCTGAAAGTAGAATTTCAATAATGTGAGATACAATTATAAGATTGCTTAAGATGAAACAAACTTTTTGTGAGATAGTTCTGGATATAGTATATTTTTTCCTTTTATTTTTAAATATATATGTCGAGTAGGAAATTGTTTAGATGTGTTTAATAAATTCTAATAATCTTTCACGGGAAGTGAAGAAGATTTTGCAAAATATACACTTTTTGTGGTAATTACACTATTGTATTAACAGTAGCTACGATATTCGTGTCTACTGAATCAAATACTGAACCAGGGTGGTCTATATTTCAGCGTTTAAATTCATTTTGCACGCACAAGGCATAATTTGCGCTAATGTAGGTATATTGAGTTTTCTATAGTTTATTCATGACCTTGAAACGTGTAGGTATTAATTAACGATAAATTTTGAAAGTGAGATCACACAGATGATGATAGTAATATTGTAATCAATATTCCTTTACAACAGAGACCATAGCTATAAGATACATTTTCTGTTTAAATAAAGCTGTATATTTCTAAAAGCAATGAGTAATTATTATTATTTCACATTACTAGGTATATGTTAGTTGCTATAGAAAAATATAATTATTACCGACTTATGTTTTGTTTTTGTTTGTGTTATGTTTTGCTTACGTGATTTATGACGTCTAACACGTACAAGTAGTTAATGTAAGTCACAAGCTCACTCTTAAATTTTTTGTGTCTCTTTAAAGCGCATAAACATATATAAAGATGTTCGGCAATAATATTGAAATTAGCGACTCGTGGGGCAAAAGGCAAAGGCTAAGCACAAAAATAAATCGCGAAGATAAACTCGGGGCGTGTAATGTTGCAGTCACACAATGAAAGTGTAATCTATGCATACATTTTTTTATTATATTTTTGTTTTCCTTTCATGTTTTTCACGCTTTTTAAAATTATTTTTAACCGACTTAAAAAGGTGGAGGTTCTCGATTCGTCTGATTTTTTAAAATTTTGTTGTTGTATGTATGTTACGCGATAATTCCGGCCCGAATTTATAAACCGATTTTGATGATTGTTTTTTGTGGGAAAGAGTAGTACCTCAGTAGTAGTCCCATTTTGAAGAAAATATTCCACCTCTAAGGGTGGCAAACGTGGGGATGAATCCGGATACTTTAATATATTTATCTACATTATACAATATTATTACATTGGTAGGTGAATGTATAATAAGTAACAACAAGGAGAAGAATCACATTTAAATACTGTAACCATAGAGTATAATTGATATTATTATACAGACAGGAAGAAACTGAAAAAAGTAAAATATTATTATAATTATTATATTGAGCACTGGACAAAGAGCTGTCAGGTTTGATAACAAATAATTAAGGGACTCAAAACGAAACATACTTAAAATAAAAATTAATAGTTGTAAAAGTGTTACTACAGTAACCCGCCATTTAAAAAAAGTAAAATCTTGATCGTTTCAATCATAGACAGGTAGGTACCTACGTGACATTAGATTGACGTCATATCGGTATAGATTGTACTGTAAAAAGAGCGAGCGTGCATTTGGAGTATAAACAAGGTGAAATGTAGATTCCCTGTCGAAACATAACTGCAGCAGGCTTTCTTATATTACTTTTTTCACAGTTCTGATATTTGCGCGCGCAAAATTTTACAATTTAAATTTTTTTCTACCCACTTGGTGAGTTTTGACCTCAATTGTCTTAAGTCACTGTTCGAAATTCAAAATTTGGGCTTCGTCACGATCAGTACAATTGTAATTTTTATGCAAGTTTCCAATTTCATGACAATTTGTTAGGAACGGGCATTCCGTTCGTAAATTGTGAAAATTTGAATAGATACCTTAGAAAATTTCGCTTGCTCCATTCGTTGTGCTTCGATGACCTCACCAGTATGGCTAGCTCGACTGGGCGCGACTTGCGCGAGAGTGACATAAAGCGCGGGATCTCTATGCCACAATAGTAATATCTCGCGTTTTATGTCGCTCTCGCGCCAGTCGCGGCCTGTTGTGTTGTGATGTGTTGCAATAATTTTATTATTTCCAAGCTTTGTAAACGAACATTATTATCTACGCGTTAATCACACAAAAACAATAGGTACCGCACCTCCGTTGAATTGCGCAAGTTTTAAATAATTTTAAACGTGCAAATTGACATGGAAGAACAAACATGTTTATGCATTCATTCATTTCTACATAGAGAGCGCAATAGGATTGAAATAGTACAACATTTAAGAGCTCTTCTAATGTACTCAGTAGCCCAAAAACTATAAATAAAACTCTCTGTACTCTAAATAATCGTCAATCATGTAATCTTTTGAAAATGGAAGTTGCTTTACCGGAGGTGCGATATATTCTTGACAGGCTGATGGTTAACGCTTAGGGCGCGTTTCCATTATGTTGTAACGTTTTATTTATCGTCGGACGACTGTCGCGTCTAGCCTGTTCCCATATCACAATTATATCTGTCGTGACGTTTATTTTATCGTTGAACGGCTGTCGTCTAGCTGCCCCCACTAGGTCGTGACGACAATTTATCGGTTCACGGTAACCACGTTCTCGTTTGCACGACAAAATCGTTTGAAGCTGCGATTAACTATTGTCACATATTTATCGTGACGTTTTATTTATAGTACTCTTCCCTTTGTCTCGACAGTCTGTCGAAACGTCAAAAAAGGCGTGAACGACAATTAATCGTGTTGAATAACTTACATATACAATCTGCGACACTTTAAACTGCACGACGATCTGTCGTCACGACATAATGGGAACGTGCCCTTAGAGCGCGGACGAAGCACAGATGACGCGCGTTATCGCGATTCAAACGGGATTCAGACGCAATGACTAAACTTGTGCATACGTTGTTCTTAATGAACCTCGATGGTGCCTTGCGTGCGGTGACGAAACACGCATCGTCGCCTGCGCGTCAGAGTACGCCGTGTGTATTAGGCTATTAAAGAACTGCGAAAGCACGATTACACTCACGCAGTGATACAGAGATGAATCCCTTGAAAACACATCAGTCGATGCGTCCGCGACAGTGAGCGGTGGCACGGGACTAAATTGTTTGTTGGAGCATTGTATTTTATGGTTTTTAAGTACCATCAACTAAAAGAGGTGGTAGTTCAACTGACTGTCTAAGGGTCGACTCGAAATCATACTCAAGTCCCTGCCATTACGGTCGTATTTCCAGTGCTGGAAATCAAACACAGATCCCGACTTGAGCATTGAGTAGAGTTCTAGAATACGACCCTAACTTTTTCTTCATTATTATTAAAAACGTACTGTTGAAAAGATGACGACAGTGGCAATCTGTAACATTTATACTCGTTCAATCGTCAACTTCTTTTTTAATGGCACCAAGTGAAGGAATGAACAAGTTGTGCGCTTGGTGGTAAACGGCATGCCTGTCCACAACAGTTGCAGTGTCAGAGTTTAAATTGCAAAGATCTGATGAACACTGCCTCTGCGCCCGTCACCCTGAGACATACATTGAAAAGTCCCATGTGCCTGTGATTTCACCAGCATAAACTACTGTCGAGTCATTTTAAAGTACTATCAAATCTTAATTGCTCTGTAAAAGCCAAAATAGCTCCGTTCAGGCAGATGTAAGACAACTAGTATATCTACATATGTAAATAATATGCTAGTGGGAGGTATAACCATATCTATGGGTATAACCTAAGTAATCATAGCACGTGTCTATATATATATTTATAGCAGACATGCCTAGAATAGACGTGCGAGTTAAAGAAGTGTTTACTATTTTGTTCCTTGGTCAAAGTTATATCAAAGTCAATCTATAAATAATCTTTATTTCATAGGTAAGCAAATTATACTTGAAATCTTCGTATTGATTAAACGTAAGTAATTAACAAGTAATTAATAAGTAATTAGTAAATAATTGATTAAACTTCGTATTGCTCTTTCGTAATGCAGATTCCCCTGAGAAGAATGAGCATGATATTCTAGGGGTTGCTCTTTTCAATATTTATTTCAAACATCATATAAATAAATCGACATTGCCAGCAAGAGCTAAACGGGTCATGACCACAGATTTTTGTCATCCAAGAACGCAGAAGCTGTATAATAAATAGCCTTTAGTATAGTTTTACGCCTCGTGAAAGGCAAATTTTGAATATCAATCGGAAATTTATAATAGAAGCATTAATAATAGAAGAATTGTGAAGACGACTGTGAAGAACACATTACGTTCGAGTATATTGAAATGTTAAAAGCTTGAGTACTACCGTGTGTATACTGAGGATACGAAAAAGCCCAATAATGGTTAATATAGATAAATGTACTTACAACTAGACAAATAAGTACATAACAGATGGCGTTGCGACAAAAAAGTTGTTAAAAAACCAAAAACAAAGATGTACAACAAGTGCATAGAAAAATTCGTAAGGTCTGTTGGTTCGTTCAGCTCAGTTGGGAGAGCGTCAACCACGGTATGCAGAAGGCAAGACAAGGAAGTCCGATCCAGCCTGATCGAAGGAGTTTTTCTTAGTGTTCGAATTTGTATTAATAATAATTGTAACAAACTAGTGGAATAATTTTACAAAATATAATTGAATATCATAGTAGTAAACCATTGTAATATTCAATAAACTTAATATTATAAATAGGTAATTGTCAAGTAAATTCATCATTATCACGTGATGTTAGGTTTTACGATAATACTTAAGTTTAATGACATCAGTATTGACCCTTTGACGTGTGGCGGCTGAGATTATTTTT